TTTTTTTTTTGAGTTGGAGTCTCACTCTGTCACCCAGGCTGGAGTGCAGTGGCCGCTTCCTTCCAAGTAGCTGGAACTACAGGCGCGTGCTACCACGCCCGGCTCATTTTGATTTATTGTAGAGATGGGATCTCGCCAAGTTGCCCAGGAGGGTCTCGAACCTGCGGGCTCAGGCAATCCACTCACCTCAGCCTCCCAAAGGCGCGGGATTACTACAGGCTGAGCTACCGAGCCCGGCCTGACTTTGATTTTTTAATTTTTATAGAGATGTAGTCTGACTATGTTGCCCAAGCTGGAACCACCCCACCTGATCTGTAGGACATTTTCATCTACTCAGATTGATAGACCAATTTAAGGTAGCTAGGGAAGAATTGAATATATTCTCAAGTTATTCAATGCCCTGGAAACTTTCTGTTTATTTCTTTTAGAGAGTTGATTTTTCCATATACCTCTTATGAGGCTGATGTGTAATAAAGACAGACTTCGGTCAAATGTACCATGGAAGAAATAGTTTGTAAATACAGTTTGTGACCTCTTGTCACATGTAGAATGTGCTTAGAGAGCCCAACCATGAATGAGGTTTCTGGTGGTGCAGTTGTGAGGATGTGATCAAGGCAGTTCTTGGGCTGGTGGAGTGGGTCAGCCTGCCCTCTTCACCAGGTCAGTGGTTAGGATGTTCTGGAACCTATGAGAAGGTTCCTCTCAGCCAAGTTTGGTAACAGGGAGGAGAATGTGAGCCTTCCACAGAGGAGTCGCAGTTATTCAGCAGAGATTGTTTATCTGCTTTGGGACAGGTACCATCTGACTTTAGCTATCTGGTCACAGTATTGCAGGACATTTTGTTCATCTTGGCTTTAACGAGTTACCGATGTGTCATTTTGCCTCTGCTGGGCAAGAAGAAGTGTTTTGTGTTTGTCACCAAGATACAAATAGCGAGCGACTGCTAGAGTTCTGGGCGTGCTGGGTCTGGATGGCACGCCCACTTTGGACGTGGGTGCGTCCAGAAGCAGGCACTTCACCACAGAGAGGGATATCGCAGGAGATGTGGCTGCATCATCCACAAAGCAAGAAAGACTCTTGTTTACTTGTTGTACATTTTTCCCTGATGACTAGTTTTGAGTGAAGAAAAATAAATTCCTTCACATTGGCGTCGTGTTCTGCTTGTGATCACCCGTCTAAGCCTGTGAATCCAGGTACCCCTCGTACCATTAGGCTGATGAGACTGACTTGGTGCCGGGTCCCCTTCTAAGCACTTACAGTTTTAACTCAGTGAAATCTCCCAGTGGCTGTCTGGCACACGGTGACTCCCATTTGAGAATAGGGAAACTGAGGTTGGTGTGGTTAAATCACCTGCCCAAAGTTGTGCTGCCAGTATGCTGTGACAGCCCTGCTCCCAGTCCCCTGTGGCCCCTTGAAGGCCTTGAGGAATTGTGGGCTCTGCATTTCAGGTCTAAGAGCTTCTTTTTGCTGTGGCCTCTCTGGGGGCATTGTTGGCAACCTGATGGCCAAGAGGCCGAGGAGTGGGGACAGAGCTGAACAGAGAGAAGTGCAGGCACAGGGTTGAGAATGTGAGCCTTCCACAGAGGAGTCTCAGTTATTCAGCAGAGATTGTTCATCTGCTTTGGAGGCTGGCCTGTGAGGGAGGGGCCGTGGGTCCCCTGTGAGGGTGGAGGGGATATGTGTTACCAGCAGCTTGACAGTGAACACATCCCAGGGCCAGATAACAGACCTACTTGAGTGAACTTCATTTGATTTTGTCAATTCTGCTGTATTCTTTTTTTTTTAAAATAATTTAAAAAAATTATTGTAGGTTTTTTTTAATTATTGTAGTTTTCTTTTTTAAATTGTAGAGACAAGGTCTCACCAAGTTGCCCAGGCTGGTCTCGAACTTGCAGACTCAGGCAATCCACTCTCATTGGCCTCCCAAAGTGCTGGGATTACAGGCCTGAGCCACTGCACCTGACTATTAGTATTTTCAAAGCATCAACTTTGACTTTGTTGAGACTTTCTATTGTATTTTAATTTTTTATTTTATTAATTCCTGCTCCTATTTATTGTTTTTTATACTTTTTATTTATTCTGTTCTCTTTTACCTATTAAATTGAATGGTTGGCCCTTTAATTTTAAGTTATTTTATTTTCTAATCTAGGCATTTATGATGAAATTTTTTCCTAAGAATCATGTTAGCTGCATACCACATTTTATTTATACAGTATGTCTAAATGTATATACACTTAATAACATAGTCTAAAAATATCAAAAGGTAAAAACTGGCAGATCTACAAGGAGAAAGAAAAATCTACTCTCATAGATTTTTTTTATTATTTAAATTTTTTCCTTGAATCAAAGTGTCACTCTGTCATTCAGGCTGGAGTACAGTGACATGATCATGGCTCACCACAGCCTCAACCATCTGGGCTTAGGAAATTCTTCCACCTAAGCCTTCCAAAACACCACACCTGGCTAATTTTTAAAATTTTTTTGTAGAGATAAAGCCTTGCTATGTTGGTTAGACTAGTATGGGAGCTTCTAATATACCCATTTTAATTTATAAATTAAGGAAAGAGATCACATGGATATGGATGATTTGAAGAACATAATACATTTGATTTAACAAGACTATATAAAATGTGGCATCTAATAAGTAGTGTATGTGTGTATACACCACACACACACACACACACACACACACACACACACACACACACACACACTTTGATATGTGGTCTCCCTTCCCCCAGTATTTTAGTTCTAAATATTTTTTACTTCCATTATTTCTTCTGTTTGAATTTAAAGTTATCTAGAATGATGTTTGCTAATTTCCATATGTATGGCTTTCCCCGGAACCCCTGCCCCAGTTACCTTTTATTTTGTTTCTAACGTTCAGTCTAAAATCACTTTCTTGGCTGGGTATGGTGGCTCACACCTATACAGTAATCCCAGCACTTTGGGAGGCCAGGGTCAAAGGATTGCTTGAGCCCAGGAGTTTGAGACCAGCCTGGGTAACATAGCAAGACCTCATCTCTACAGAAAAAAAAAAAAAATTTGCCAGGCATGGTGCCATGCGCCTGTAGCCTCAGCTACTCAGGAGGCTGAAAATTAGCCAGGCATGATGCCATGTGCCTGTAGCCTCAGCTACCCAGGAGGCTGAGGTGGAAGGATCACTTGAGTTCAGGAGTTGAGGCTCTGGTGAGCCATGATCATGCCACTGCACTCCAGCCTGTGTGACAGAGTGAGGCTCCAACTCAAAAAATAAGAGTAAAATAGAAAATAAAATCACTTTCTTATTGCCTTTCAGAATTTCTTCTAGGGCATATCTGTTAGTAGCAATCTTATAAGCCTTTGTTTTAAAATGTCATTGTTTAAACATATATATTAGAAACTACTTTCACTGGATGTTGAATTTTTGGTTTAATCTTATTTTCTTTTGTATATTGAGTATATTATTATACTCTTGTGACTTTTATTATTGCTATTGAGAAGTCTGCTGTAATTACAGTTGTTTCTTGGTAGGTAATCTGTGCCTTGTTGCTTTTGGAATCTCTGTCTTTGAAGTTCTGCAGTTTATCAGAGTCATTATTTCTGTGTGTGTGTGTTTTTAAATTTATTCTCCTTACTATGGATCTTGAATCTGAAGATTCATGTTCCTCATCCATTCTGGATAATCTTCCATCATTATCTTGCCTATTGCTTTTTCTTTGTTTTCTGTTCCTTTTTGGGTCCTATTGTACATATTTTATACCCTCTTATTAGAGTATACTCCATTTCTCTTTCCCTACCACTTGTATTTTCACAGCACCTTGTCTCTTTTCTACATTCTGGATAACCTTTGCAGCTCTTTGTTTTAGTTTATAAAAGCGTAATCTATACATTGTGTTTTCATTTTGTGTCTCTGTCATTTTATCAAAGTTTTATTTGCTTATTTTTCATAACCATTCATTATTTTTTAGTATGTCTTACCTTTTTTTCCTACTTTACTCATTTAAGCATATTTTTTCCATTTTCTTCCCTCAGTTATACTATTATTTTGAAATTTTAGTCTTCTTGGGTTTTTGTGTTTGTGTGTCTGCTGACATCCTAATGACTTATTGTTTTATTGTTCAGTGTTTTTGGAGGGTTTTGCTCTTGTTGTTGTTTTGGTGAAATCTTTAGTAAGGATTTTCTTCTTCTTTCCTGTCCCCATGGTGGTCCTCCCATGAACCCTGGATATAGAAGTAGTGTTGCAGAGTGCTTTTATTTTGTGCCTGAGGCCTCCCACAAATTTCCCAGGTCTAGGTCGCAATTCTTTTTTTTTGAGTTGGAGTCTCACTCTGTCGCCCAGACTGGAGTGCAGTGGCCACTCCCGGCCACCGCAGCCTCGACCTGCTAGGCTCCGGCGATCCTTCCGCCTCAGCCTTCCGAGTGGCCGGAATTACAGGCGCGCGCTAGCACACCTGGCTAATTTTTTGATTTATTGTAGAGATGAGGTCTCACCTGCCCAGGCGGGTCTCGAACCCGCGGGCTCAGGCAATCCACTCACCTCAGCCTCCCAAAGGCGCAGGATTACAGGCTGAGCCACCGAGCCCGGCTAGGTCACAATTCTTACTAGAATTTATTTTTTTAGCTTGGATAGTATAAATTTGCATTCTGTACCTTCAAGTGGCTCTGGCTTGGGGCTTCAGTTCCTATGGGACTCATTTAATACCTCCCTCCCTCTCTGAGACCTGAGCAGAGACCAACTTCCTTATTGCCTTCCCAGGCTTTGTTATGTGAGCAACTCAGTCCCTGGGTCTCTGTGTAGACCTGAGTCCCAGTCTCTCAGGCCTGCATGTGTGTAAAAACCCCATACCCTTATCCCTGGGGCCCTCTGAATCAGCTTGTGCTTTTACACTTTGGCTTGAATTCCCCCTACACACCTGGCACCAAGGGACTCATTTTCTTTCTTTTAAATTCAGCAGTGTATTACAGTCAGGGGAGGAGTTCTGTTTTCTCTAATCTTTCTATGTATTTCTAGCCAAATATGTTCATGGTTAGTTTGTTCTGCTGATGGACATGACACACTATATTGTATTTACTTTTTAATATTTTTTCCCTCACTAGACCTGGTTCCTCAGGGACACACACCTAGCACAATGTCTCTAAATACTAAACAGACAAATCATTTAATACTTGTGCCTATGTTGAACCAGTTGAGATTCACAATAGGAAGAACCAGTCCTTGGCCCACATTTGTGCATAAGTGCCTCTGTTCATGTTTGGTCATCCTGTCTCATGGCCACTTCCTCCTCCTCGCTGGAGGACCCTGGCTTGTCTGAGCCACACACTCTTCTACTTGGGGAGTTTGTCTGTTCTCGGGCTCTGTACCCTAGCCCTGCCTGCCTGTTTCCTGTGTTTTCTTCCAGTCATCTTTTCTCGGGAGATCTCTGTGGCTTTCTTTGGTTGAAAGTAGAGCAAAGTTTTTTGCTTTCATGTGGTGTTTTTAAAGAAAATTTTGTTTATTATGAATTGAATATTTCTCAGTATTCTTCTTTAGAATCTACATTTCTGAATAAATATATTACATATTCATTGCGGAAAACATAGAAAATACTGGGAGTGCCAAAAAAAGGTATACTTATTTGAAGAGATGTTATCTATGTGTTACTTTTACTTTGCCATAATCAGAAGTGTCTGGCCCTGATGGTAACCTCTTTGAGTACCTCTTATAATTACAGAAGTCAAACGTGACTTGTATTCATCTTTTGTTATCAGTATATGTTGAATATTACAATTTTAATAGTTTTTTCCTTTTTCTTAAAATGTGTGTACATTTTTTGGCGCCCTCTATATAAATAAGTTTTAAAAAAATTGAAATTGCCTATAATTTCACCATCTAGAGAGAAACACATTAGTATTTGACAGATTCTGTCCTGGTTTTTTCTTTGTGAATATATGTGTATGTCTGCTTTTGTTTCTCATAAAATTGTCCGCATGGTGAACCTACCTTGCTTTTATCGCCTAATTTACTTTTAAAACTAGTAGTGCTGGGCACAGTGGCTCACACCTATAATCCCAGCACTTTGGGAGGCTGAGGCGGGAGGGTTGCTTGATCAACAAGTCCGAGACCTGCCTGGGCAACTTAGCAAAACATTGTCTCTACAAAAAATTTTTTAAATAGCTGGGTGTGGTGGAGCACGCCTGTAGTCCCAGCTACTTGGGATTCTTAGTGGAAGGATCTCCTGTGCCCAGGAAGTCAAGGCTGCTATGAGCCATGATCGTCATGATCATGCCTGGCACTCCAGCCTGGATGACAGTGAGATACTGACTCCAAAAACAAAAAACAAAAAAAAAGTTAGTGGTGTTTGATGCAGTGGGAATTATTTTATTTTAAAAACAAAATGGAAATACAGTGGAAATAAAGTTCATTTGCCTATACAAACAAAATTGAAAGCAAGCAAACAAAAATGGGGAGCAGAGGCAGGACTGAGGCATTGGGGAGTGATAGGCTTCCTGACTCTCAGTGGTGCTTTCACATCTCTCCCTGCAGAGCATCTCTTGGGTCACCTGGAACAAGCCAAAAGCCTTCCTCCAGGCAGCCAGGCCGAGACCACACCTGAAAAGGAGCTGGACGCACCCCGGGGTGAGCCCCATGCAGTGCACCAGAGCGAGAGTGTGGGGGCCACCAAAGAGCAGAAGAAAAAGCCTCGAAGGGGAAGAAAACCCAAAGCATCCAAAACCGAGCAACCTCTGGTCATCGTTGAAGACAAAGAGCCCTCAGGTGAGGGATGGGTCCTGGGATGAGTGTCCCATGGGGCACAGCCCCTCCTGGTGCTCAAGAGCTGGGAGGGCAGAGGACGGGGCCTGAGACCAGGTCACCCAATGCCAGGCAGGGAGACAGTGCACAGAGCCCATGTGGAAAGTGGATTCTAGGCCCTTCTCTTTTTTCCCCATCAACTAATTTCTGTGTAATACATTTCATACTAAGAAATGTCCAGATTGTAAATTTTGGAAAGCAGATACACTGTGTAGCCAGCACCCCCATCGGGGTAGAGAACATTTTCCCTTCATGGTGGTTTTTCTGCATGATTTTGCCTCGCCCATCCTAGAATTCTTTGTGAGTGGAGCTTCTTGCACATAGCACACAAGTGCAGGAGCGCTGTGTCTATCCGTTTCTTCTTCTCCTCGATCTCTGAGCAGTGTTCTGTTCATTACCTGTGGATGCGCATTTAGTTGTGCCAGGCCCTGGTTAGCATTCGTCCTTTGAATGTGCAATATACTCAGTTGAGTCTGAAGGAATTTTTACCCTCTTTCTTTCTTTTTCTTTCTTTCTTTCTTTCTTTCTTTCTTTCTTTCTTTCTTTCTTTCTTTCTTTCTTTCCTTCCTTCCTTCCTTCCTTCCTTCCTTCCTTCCTTCCTTCCTTCCTTCCTTCCTTCTTTCTTTCTTTCT